AAGAAAGTGATCACATTGTACTTGGCGGTTGATATATGGTTGTCGACATATTTGTTTGCCGCATTGGCCGGGGAATTATTGAACAGGATGACACGAGGGCCCAACGTTGACGGATCGATCTTGCGCCTGCCAAACCCAAATTTAAAATCCCCAGCACTGAATTTCTTCTTCTGAGCTCTTGGACCTGCTCCATCACCGTCTGTCCCCACGGAGTCCACTCTAGCCGGTCTGGCGCCCGTTTCGGTCAACGGCAAGTCCATTTCTGAGTACTGCTGTCCCATACCTAGCATATTTTTTGCTTTCCCCATCAATCCGCCGCCCAGGCTCAATATACTGTTCCGATCCCGCGTGCGAGCATCTCTCACGGGCATCGCACCGTCCAAGTCATTTTGATCATTATAGTAACCTTGCGCTGATCGCGCATCGTCAAAGTCGTTTAAGTCATCTGAATATCGCTGGTAGTTGTGTAAATCTACGGTCTGCGAGTAGGGTCGATATGCTTCACCATCCTCGTAGAAAGGGCCCGTTCGAGGTCCAGCTCCTGGCCGCGATCCAGCAGCCTGTGCTGGCTGACTACCCCCAACGAATGCATCGTATGATACTGATGGCCTTGGTTGGAGTGTATCGGAATCTTGGATATCGAATTGTTGCAGGAGGTGATCGTCAGTCACTGGAGGGCGCTGGCCGGTGTTGTATACAGAGGCTGTGTCTTCGAGCTGTACGAGATTACCATCGTTTCCAGGGGGCGGACCGTAGCCCGGCGGCCTGCCACTGGTCATATCGCAGCAAGTAGCGGTGAAATCACCGTGAGAGAGTTGCGTTGTGGTGGGGAGGAAGCATTGATTAACAATGGCCGAAGGAAGAGGATAAGAGGATGGTTGTTAGGTTCAGGCCGTGTCGGAGGTATTTGGGGCAACAAGGAAGGGTTGTCCGCTCTGCAGGCTTAGTCTATAACTTCTGGTCTTTTCCACAGTGAGATGCAAGAAAATTTTAGCTGAGCAGTAAAAATCATCAAAGGTTGTTTCATAGCAGTTGTCGTCGTCAACTGGATGAACCAGCGCGGGTTCGTTCCCCCATTGTAGGATGTTTTCCGTCATCCACTGAGGCTTAGAAAAAGGCTAACAACCTTGAAGCCTCAGCTACAGCCGCAGCAACAAGCCCCGCCGTATTACGCTTACCGTACGACTCCCAGCCAATAGAATCCGCTGTAGCGGCAGATTGGTATTGCTGTATGGTAAATCACTTACCGATGGTTGGTTTTGCCTAACCTGACGTCGGAGTAACTTCGCCGCGAGTTAGTAAAATAAACACATTTTTACCTATATAGTTGGAACAAACTAAATTATTTTGTGGAAAGGGAATATTTACTACTTGGTGGACAACAAAAAAATCCATTTAAACCAACTTATGGAGTGCGTAGGTTGTTGTTCCTTTCTGTGTGTTGGTTACAGATTGTCCTCCACAGACTCCGGTATTTTATGACAGGAAGTTACCAAAATGTGTATGGTTTGACACTGATTAATGTTACAGGGAACGGCAATGAAGAGCGCGTAGGGCTGGAGGATCAAGATATAATATTCATTTAAATTTATTTCCGCTCACCAATTCTTGCTGAGTATTCCAACTCAGCGCCGTGAAGAGGTTGAGAGATACTTTCTTGTGCATCAGGATGTTACATCCTCAATCGAAATGTTCTATTTTTATGCATCCGCTGCTCCAGCCCTGGGGTCCACCAGGCACCAAGTAAAAGTCTCGTAAGCGCCCAGGCACTAAAGGAAATCAAGCCAACAGGGAGGCGGCCCAGCGAGCACCAAGCCTAATGGGCCAGTGATGGGCAGCTGAGTTTACAGCTAATAATTATTAATGGCAATCTCCGGCCCCTAGCAAACAGACACCATTTCATTCACAAGAGTCCATTCACCATTATACACGGATCTAAAAAGGAGAAAAAAAAAGGTCTTGAGGGGTCATTGAGTTATCTTTCATTGGCGGCGCTCGATTCTGCAGCACGTTGACGTGCCTGCTCCCGAATCTTCAGGTCTTCCTCCAACTTCGTGGATATGAATTTGTTCATCTCCTTTATCTTGGCAAGTGCTACGGTCGAGCATGAAATCATACTTAATGGATCGCCCGGGGTCCCATCTGGTTTTGTATAAAGAGAAATCTCGCCAGTCTTATCCAGAGCAATGATGAGGCTTCCTTCGCTCACAGCTTCCTCCTTCGAGGTTGCATCTAGCACAATGATTCTTCCCTCATCGTACATATTGAACGTAGTGGAGAGGGGGAGTTTAGTCAGGTTCAGGGGTGACGGGACCCTTTCTTCTGGACGGTAGACGGTCACCCGCCCGTCGCGAACAACCGCTTCTGGTAGACGGAAGTGGAGCAAACCAGTCATGATGGCAAGACAGCAACTGTCAACCAGTCCACCGTCTGAGTCCACGACATGTACATCTGCCCGAACATGCCAACAATTCTTCCCCGCCGCAATGCACAGCGATTCCGTGTCGAGGGCATTGGACCGCCGGATTATCCTGTCAAGGGTACGGACAAGCTGGGTTTCTAGCTCCGATTGTCTGTAAGAAAACAAAGGTCTTAGCAATGACGTTGAAAACCAATTAATTGATACGGCGTTGGTAGACCGATTTAACGCACCTCCCCGTCTCGTAGGCAGGCGAAGCCATATCATTAAGTTCCACCGAAACTGTGAAAATTCCATCGTTCTCCCTCTCAGGGCGGGGCTTCGTCACCTCCGCAGATATGCGCACGACGACACTAGCTTTTGCGTTAGTCACTAAAATATATAAGTATATTCTTCTTCCGTAGGCGAATATTGAAATACATAGAGTAGCTTCGTCTCTGACGAGCAAGCACAAAATGACTAAACGAACGAACCTAGTTTTTCCCAATTGCAGTTTGACATGTCCGTATTCATCCCCGAAGGAGACTGTCAGCGGGCGGAGCTGGTCCAAAGCACGGCCATCGAGTCGCACATTTTTATGGAGAGCCTCCAGGATGAATGTGCGCTCGTTGGCCGAAATATCAGCTTCCTTCGGCATGCTCAGGTGTTTCTATCCAATATTCCATGGGTGGAGGACTCAGGTTGACGCTTAAAATTCCGCAGGCATACGCCAGAGCTCTTCATAACATACGGACAATCATTGATGCGACATGTGTGATGCTGACTAAGCGCTTTTATTTCTTGGCATTTATTGAGTGTTCCCGTTGATTCTCCTGTTCATGACAACCAAAGGGCACGTCGGTGAAGACAATCAACAATCACGTTTTGATTTTCATATTTTAAATCAGTGTTAAGATTAATCACTGTCACGAGCTCCAACATGACCACAGGTATGTACGACATCTATGCTGTCAACGAACTGAGTTACTAATTCTGCACTAGCCCATAGGCCAACCTTTGACCCGGTAAGCTCCCTCCTCCAACAATCGCGAAAGTACAAGAAACTTACGCTTTGGAATAGGCACGAGGCAAGGAGGCTCTAAGAGGTCCCGCATACCACCAGCGTCTTCTCCCGGCACATACATTCCTGAAAACCAGGTAGGGCATTCCCGACCTCCTATCCCTCCGGGACTAATTCCTCAATGAATCCGCGCACCACTAACGTTTTATTGATAGAAAACCCGGACAAGGTGGCGATGCAGACGAGAAGCGCGATCTGAGAGCCGAGCTCCTGAGAGCTGAGGCCGCCCATTTTGCCAAGAAGGGTATTTCCCAAGATACCTCCGCATCTTCCGCATCCTCTCCCGCTGCGATCGAGCCATCCGTACCGAAACGCCAGCTTGAGAATGGGTCGAGTGAAGTTGAGATCGGCGACATAGAAGACCCGGAGGCTAAGAGGCGGCGAATACTAGAGGAAACACGAGATATAGATGCGGATTCAGCTGGGTCAGAGAGCGATAGTAGTGAAGACGATAGGTATGTGACGCCACCTGTTGCTGCCTTCTAAGTGAACTGCCGCTGATGGGATAATAGTGATGATGAAGAAGAAGATGAAACTGCGGAGTTAATGCGAGAATTAGAAAAGATTAAAAAGGAACGAGCTGAGCAGAAGGCAAAAGAGGTTTGTACTGGTCATCCTGACAAGTTCTGGTGAACAGGGTAACTGGAGTCTACTGACACGGTACACTTGTTAGGAACAAGAGCGAGAAGCGCAAGAACAGGAGAAACGCGAAGTCGATATCGCACGAGGCAACCCGCTACTTAATCCACAGGACTTCAATGTTAAGCGGCGATGGGACGATGATGTTGTCTTTAAGAATCAAGCGCGCGGTACGGAGAATAGGGGCAAAAAGGAATTTGTTAACGTATAATGACCTGTTTCTCACATTTCCACACAGCTCAAGGGAGAAATATGGCTGATAGAGATCCGTTTTAGGATTTGTTACGTTCCGATTTCCATAAACGCTTCATGGTAATTATTTTCCAAACCCCCAGTGTCGGGTGCACTAGTTCGCTAACATAGTATATTCTAGTCTAAATACGTGAGGTAACCTGGGTTGACATCGGTAACATTGGAGTCACCTAGGTACTCAACTGTACATATACAAAAATAATACGAACGAAGTACCCCAATACGCATCTTCGCGTTCTTTGCCAGCGGTAGAAAATTCTACATGGTAGGTCACTGCACCGTCGCACAACTAGAATTGGCAACCCATCAGCCCCCAAGGTCGTCTTTGTCCGCATCTTTGAGTTTTTAAGACCGATCCGGCCACGGTGTCACTCTGTATTAGCCTACCATGCTGGGTAGGCCGCGGATCATTCCGAAGACTATGAGCTCTGCTCAAACTCCAGGGGAATGGAAAGGGGGGCGGTACAAGGACTGCAGCAGTGAGGAAAAGGGCAGATCACATAGCACGGGTTAGGAACGTGGGATTGATATTGCTATTTCATAGATATAGTACATAGTTATTACATGCTACGGGAATAAGGACTCTAGTTCATTGCCATTGTTCCCTTTTCCAGGTTGCTATAAGGCCAATCACGTGACATTAATAAATCTCCAGGGCTCACTCGTTAACATCCAAATATTCCGTCCTCCATCATTTCATTAAGCACGTATCTATAGGTTTCTCACTCTCCTCACCATGGACCCTCAGCAACCCACATCCCGGGCTTTGCAAGGTCAGTATTCTCACTTTTCCGCAAATTGGAGTTCCCCTCCATCCGCTCAATTGAAGGCCACAAGAGCTAAATCCGGATGACGTATGGTCTGCCGCCATCGCCAAACAGCCCGCATAAACACCAACGTCGCGCAGCTGCTACAACGATTCGAGAATATCATGGCAACCGCAACGGTGAGATAATATACCAGATACGCCCTGCCTGGACATAGGGACGGAGAGGGACGCATTTTGCAAGTTTTTACAAATATTGGGTGGCTGACTAACGTGGGTGGGCGAAACCCCAAAAAAATAAATTCAGGTCGATAATACAAGCTTCACATCCACAGCCATCGAAACATATCAACTCGACGTCGAGTCTACTGCTCTTGTTCGTATTTGCTCAGCCCCTGTTATCGTTATCCTTTTTTTTTTTTTAACTTCCGAAATTACTGCGCAAGTACAGTACAAACGGAACAAATACCCCTGGCAAGAGCGCAAACTTGCTAATTTCTCCCGCTTTTTCCCCTTACCCTAGATTCGCGCCGCGGAAGATATCCTCTCGTTAACACGGACAATGAAGGAAGCATGGCTATTTGGCAAATTAGACACCCTGGGCGAGGATGAGAGGGATGTACAAAGGAGGGAGGGTCTGGAGAGGGATGCGCAAGCGGTCAAGAATGCCATTGAGAAGGGGGGCGTGTTGTCAATGGAATAAGTTATCAAAACAGCCGGACGCGCGTGTTTTGTTCCCTGCATTCTCATTATTTTTTTCCCCCTTCAGTGCGATATATTATCTGATCATGGTGTTATTTTGGCTGCAGTGGCGTTAAGGTATTTGTGATTTTTGCAGTGGGATTGGGAAAGGAATCGGCGTTGGGCAAGTTTGTGTTTTCTATTTCAGTTGAATCTAACAAATAATGATATTTGGAGCAGAGGTATTTATTATAATCATAAATCTAGATCAATTCTACACAAGAACAATTCAAATTTCCCTCGTTAAAATATTATTCGTTGTTCTACTCCCGTTCCTCTGGGGAGCTTCACGTCATCCCAAAAGGGTAAATAACTAACTAATGAGCGCACCAACCACGAGAACCTCCAATCCCACCACAAATCGACATGTAAGACAACAACACCACTCACCACACCAACAACTCTCCCATCCTCTCCCATCCTCTCAATCTCAGGTCCAACCCCCAGTTCCAACCTCTCCAACAAAAATGCCAACACCCCCGCCCACCACCACCACCGACGACACAGAAGCAATGCCACACCCCTTCCCCACCTCCGCCCGCACCCTCCTCCACCCCCTCCCGCCTCTCACCCTCATCGTCGCCACAACACCCATAACAACACCCTCTCCCTCGCCTACAACCAGCGACCACCACCACCGCCGCCGCCTAGGCATCGGCCATGCCGGAACCCTCCCCTGGTCCCGCATAAAAACAGACATGGCCTTCTTCTCGCGCGTCACGACGCGCGCCCCGGCGCCGGAAAATGCCACACGCACAAGCACAAGTGCAGTTAACGCGGTGATAATGGGCCGGAAGACATATGACTCGCTCCCCGCGCGCTTTCGGCCGTTACCGGGCCGTGTGAATGTCGTTGTGACGCGGGACCGGTCGGGGAGGGAGAGGGCGCGGATCGAGGGGGAGTGGAGGGCGGCGGGGGAGAGGGAGAGGGAGAAGGAGAGGAAGAACAATAGCAGGGAGGGAGGAAATATCGGCGCGACCACTACTACGCCATCATCGACACCAAAACCGGAAACAGGGCCGGAAACGGGGCCAAAACCAGAAGAAGAAACCCCCGACGTCCTCGTAGCAAACAGCCTCGAATCCGCCGTGGCGGCCCTCCACGACGCGTTCAGGACGACCCCCACCCCGGGCCCCCTCTCTCACAACGCCACCCGCTGCCTCGCGAATATCTTCATCATCGGCGGCGGTGAGATATACGCCGCCGCTCTAAATCTTAAACCTACACTGGACGGTGGGGAACAGCAACAACAACAACAGCAGCAGCAGCAGCAGCAGCAGCAACAGCAGCAACACGGCGCGAATGCGGGGACGATGAGGATTGTTATGACGGATATAAGACGGTGTCCTGCTCCGGCTTCAGCACCAGAGCCAGCTCTATCAAGCGATGTTACGGCTACACCTGCGGCTACGGCTACTGGTATTACCACGGTAGGGGAAGAGGAGGCGATGGCGGCGGAGAACTCCGTCAACGGGTCTGAATGCGATACGTTTTTCCCGCTGGATAGTGAGGAATTGGAGCGAGGTGATGATGGGGGGTGGAGAAGGGTGAGTGCGGAGGATGTTTCTTCTTGGGTGGGCGAGGAGGTGAAGGCGGGGTGGGTGAGGGAGGGGGAGTTTGTGTTGAGAGTTTTGGGCTTTGAGAGGGGGGCTTGAACGCTGGCTGGCTGGAAGCAGAGCAGATAATAAGTAAATAAATATCTTAACTTTTGGCTTGTAATTTTCAATACACCCTTGAAGAAGCGGTATGATAATGATATTACATTATTTCATGGCAATTGGAAATGGACTGGGGTTATGGAAATTGGCAAGCCCGCCCACTACACACGCCCCTTTGCGGCCAATTTTAATAGAAAACAGTGGTTGAAAGAAAAGAAGAAAAAGAACGGTAAAGAATCTTACGCACAAACATCTCATTGTGATCAAAGATCGATGGGATTAGGACTAACCCTATTCTCACGTCGCCTTCCATCATCTCTCTCACAGCATGCCAATCATCATGACAAGAAATATGATGTACGCCGATCCCATCCATCCATCCATCCATCCATCCACTCAACTCATTCACAATCCGCCTCACCACTGAAGAAAACAGAATCAGACAGACATCATCCCATCCATTACCCATACCAATATCATTGTGATCATACACCCGCTCACTAACGCCCGTAGTACAATCTCACTCAGAACCCATCCCATCCTTCCTCCGCTGCGATGAATTCAGCCATCCAAACGCCGACGCCCCACCAACCGGATTCGCCGTGCGTGACTTGCCAGACCACGGCCCCGCACTGCCACCTCCTCCATCGCTAGAAGAAGGTTTCCCCGCGCCAGCACCATTCACGGACTGCTGCGCATGTTGGGATGACGATGTCGTCATATGATCGTGGCCATCGCAACTAGTGCTTGTGCTGGTGCCGGTACGGTGTTGGTCTACGGGGGGAAAGCGCGAGTCGCTGCCAAAGCCAGACGAGGCGGTTCCTGTTGCGGTAGTTGTGGTAGTTGTGGGAGTGCCAACGCCGCTGGAGGAAGCCTGTCTAGACACCGTGTTTACTGATGAGGTCGACTTGGTCGGTTTCAGGATCTTCATATTCCGCGTCCGGGTTGAACGCTGGTAAGCGGACATGAAGGGGCTGGTGGTGCTGCTGTACATACTTGCGCTAGTGGATGTCGTTGTTCCTGTTGCCCCCGTATTCTCCCCCTTGTCGCCGGTGGTATCGCGACGCCAGGGGCCCCAGACGCCGCTACCCTCTGCTTTCGCAGATGAGGTTGACGTGCCCGTGAACGCGCGGTCGCCCGCGCTGGGTTTGGGATAGTGGCGCTGATCTGGACTGTTGTTGTCCGAGGAATCGTCGGTGAAATGGCGCGCGGAGGAACGGATGGGTTTTCGGTCGAAGGAGTCCGAGGAGGCGCGGGCGCCTAAGTTGGTGGAAGTATCAGCCTTGTCTGAGGTTGTGATGTTGTCATGGCCCGCGGAAGTTGGGAGTTCACGCTCAGTAGTGGGCTGGTCTCCATTGGTCACTACAAGGCCAGTTCGCTTGTCGCTGGTAGTTCCGTTGTATAGTGTTGACAGATCCTCTGGGCCAGTAGTTAGATATCTAAACGTAGAATCATCCTCCGGGCGAACCAAGGGAATTGAGATTTTGTTGCGCCCGTCATCGACAATGAGCATCTTGTCCTGCGAGAATAGAATGTCGGCATTGTGTGCGCGGAGGACATCGCTGCCTAGGAAAATCTGGATGCTTTTGTCACTCAGGTCTGCGCCACGGATGATAAATCGAACAGTCAACGCAGGTAGCTGGGGGACCGGGCTCCCGCCGCGGGACGATGGCTGGTATACACTGGCCTCAGGGAGGTAGACTGGAAGTTTGATGATTCGCACACCATCCTCCTCTGCTGCCTCTTCCTCGAGGCCTAGTTTCCGCACCATCTGTTCACTGATGGCTGAGCGGTATGACCCCGTGCACACTGCAGCGTAGAGCAACGAGTCATTGGAAAAGTTCGTCGTGAGCCAACAACGGATGATGCACGGGACAGGGCCTAGAATGAATAGTCCGGGAGGTGGAGGCAAGGGAGTGTTGCTGGCAGACGAGGTCCCATTCCCACCACCAAGTAAGCGAGATGCTTCCAGCCCCATGCTATTGGTGCGCGCGGAATGGTGCGATTGGCCCGACGAGCTCTGTTTCCCGTCAGATCGATGAGAAAGCGACCGCTCCGTCAGCGGATGGCTTCCCAGCCCACTGCCAGTTCGCAATGGGAGGAGCTCAGCGGTTGATCTGTTTGCTTGGCTATAATACATCGAGCTCTCATCGAATCGCACACTGTTTGCCCGTGAAGCCCCGCGACGAGGTTCTTCCTCATTTTCCAGATGTAGCGCTCCCGTCAACCCATGTTGGTGTGTTTGGTCAAACCCTTTGAAAGGCTCAGCAGTCGGGTTGAAGGATGTTTCTAATCCACATGACAGTGTTAGAAAATTATTTATTTCTAACAGGGCTCAATTCGTGTGCATCCCCCACTTTGAAGGCTTTTTTTTTTTTTTTTTTTTTTGTATGGTCACTTACCTTGGTGGTGCACGGTGCCAATAGACCCCGGAAACGGAGATAACGGGCCCCAAACACTCTTCATCCTCGCATCGTCGTCACGACGCCGTTCCAATCTAGATATCCGCTCTCCGTGCTCGAGCTGGGCTGCAAATAGGTCTTTCACCTCCTCTTGAACGCGCCAGATGTCTTCTCTTGATGCAAATGGGTATTGCGCGTCCATTCCCAATAATCATTCACGGAGCAGCAAAATCCACCCGATGTAGGGATATTGCTCTTGGGAGCAGCGTAGCTGGTTTGGTGGGCCACAGGGCGAAATGGGGAAGCCGGAGCAAGACGACCGCGAACAGAACTAATTCCGCAAAACAAGCATCCGTCGATGGTTCAACGAACCCTGAAGAGAAAAGTCCAGGGAGCAAGCTGGCAGCTGATCCAAGAATAAACGAGCTTATTGATGCGCCTGAGATCGAAAACAAATAAACCTCCGGGTCAAATAAACCTTCCAATAAGAGAATAAAAAACCGAAAAGAAAGAAACGAAAAAAAAAAAAAGTAATCCTGGACCCGGTCGTTTTCGTTTATGATTCCCGTGCCTTCTCTTCTCTTTTCTTTTCTTTTCTCCTTTTCCCCCAAGATATTATAACCTCTCTGTTTCGATACTTCTTGCCCCGCTGATACTGTGAACCTCCGTGTTAACCGATCCCCTCCACTAATCTTATTCTCTCAAGAACAAAGAACAAAGGGCCCCTGATCTCTCTTTTCTCTCTTTTTTTTTTCTCTCCTTTTTTCAAACAATACTCTATTTGCCGCAACGGTAAAACAATCGATTCAACCGTCCGTTAACAACCTCACACCCTCGTCTCCCGCCAGGGCCAGGCTCTGCGAGAAGGCCTCAAGGCCTCCGCCCACCCAAGTGAGATGTATTAGAATCTGCCAGTGTATCAAACAGAACCACCCGAGGGTGCCTAAGATTACCGTATGTAGATCTTGTGGCTAGCCAAAGGGTGATAGTTATGACCGTTCTAACACGAGGAGCGGATGACGGGGATGCGGGACCGGGGAAGTCGGGCGGGGGCTTGTTGTAGTAGTTGTTGTTCTTGTCGGAGGTGGAGGTGGAGGAGGAGGCGGAGACGGAGACGGAGGGAGTAGAGTGGGTGAGATGGGACGAAAGAGTGGCCTTTCCAAAGGATGGATGACAGGAAGGCGGAGGGGGGTGGAAGGGGAGAGGAGGGGGGGGGGCCAGGATTATCGAATCCGGGAGAAAGAGGTTATGTTTCGCTCGTTGTATCGGTTGTTCTGATTTCAGCAGGAAAGGACGTTGTGGTGGAGGCTGTGGGAGAGTATATATTCCGTTCGAGACGGCAACGGCGGCGGACCGGGAGTTTTGATGGGTGGTGATGGCAGAGGGGAGAGGGGGGGGGATGGGATGGGATGGCTCTGGGGGCGAATGCGGGTACAAAGAAAAAGATACGTAGTTAGTTTGCAGGTTTCCTCTGCACGGGTGGAGAAGGCAATGTTGTAAGGATGGGAGAATTTGGTTTCTGCTGATGATGGCAGTGAGGTGATCGGAGGGGTATTTCCCGGGGAAGTTCCTGTCGTGTTTGAGCCGTGGAGGTGGATGTGATGGTGGTTGGTGGTTTGCTGGTGGTGGTGGTGAAGTTGGTGGAATGAGTGATGGTGATGGTTGGGCGAGATGTTTCGTTAAGGCAGGCGGCTTACTGCGTAGAGTTGGCTTGGTCCGGGGTCTGGTCTGGTCTCAGTGGTTATGGTAACTATGGTATGGTATGGTATGGCGCTGGCAAGGCGAAACGATTGCAAGGCAAGGCAACTAGCGCCAAACAGCCGTAACTAATAATAATGGGATTGCCGCTGAGTATCCTCTGATAAATAAACCATGGAATATGCTCTGTGAAATCAAAAAGAAGCCCTGTTTCTCCTTGGTCGGGTGGAATTTTCCATGGCAATGTAGATCTCCCGCGTTAATATGTAAAGGCCGCGCATATATCCATCTTTAAAAAGTAATTATTTGAAAACAAAATTACATGAATCAGACGAAATTGACCACCCCCACGGATATATGCAATAAATAAATAAATAAATAAAAAGTAATGGAAATATAAATATAAATATCTCCCTAAATTAGACAAACCCATCCCCGTTGACCTCTTTACTCACCTTTCAAATCCTAATGCCATCGTCCACCACCGTTGAGCTACGTCCACTTCCTCTCTCCCTTCGAACCTTGGGAGCGACGGGGGGTTGATAGAGCGGAGACACAATGTTTTGCTTGTGGCATTCAGCACACCTCTACCCATTCCATAAGACATGATGAAGTTTCTTCTTATGTTTCGGAAAAGAATATGGTATGTAAGAAAAGAATTAGAACGGGTGCCCCTATGGGGACGAGAGGCGGGGGTTAGGGGGAGGGCGAGGGGTTCGTTTCCTCGCCTATCCTCAACTCTCGCTGGCGGTTCTGAGCCGTGATCCATATTATTATATCTCTTTGCCCGTAGCAGTTCTCTTGGTCTCTTCCTCCATCATATAGTGAACAATAATAATAATAATAATAATAATAATAAAGTGCGGCGCCCGCAAGCGCCTCTTTCCCCAGGAACCAACTCCAAGTGAACTACGATTTCGGCGCACTCTGCCACGGAGGGAAATGCATAGGCACATTCTCAGGCGCGAGGTGCGGATAATGCGTCCGGATCGCCCTCGTCACCTCATCGTACAACACCCTATAGCCGGCCGGGTTGAAATGGAGACCTAACACACCCACCCACACACACACACACACAAAGGCCACGACAGGTAAGTAAGGGTAACTAAGGAGCAAAAAACCTATTTTGACAAAAGTATAGATGGAGGTATGTGTTATATAGACATACCATCTGACAACAACGCCTGCAACCTCTCATTCACAGGCACCTCTCTCGATCCCGCCAGCGGCTGGCCATCCACCCACCCAGCCACAGTCATGAATGCAGTCCATATATCGGCAACGGGCACGTTGAGCTTCTTGCCCACCTCTCGGCAGGCGTCGGCGTATTGTTTTGTCCGGGAGGCTTTGCGCATTATTGGGGAGGCTGGTTCGGGTTCGGGTTCGGGATCGAGCGCGCCGGGCTGCGTACCTACATCCGCATCTACATCTCGATCTGCACCTGCGCCTGTATCTGTATCTGTATCTGAGGGGGAAAACTGATACTCATTGACAGGTGGTGGGGTCAGGAGTAAGAGATTTGTCTCCGGATGCGCTTTGATGAGCGGGTGTGTGAGGATTTTTATTAAATTTTCTCTATAGAGGTTGAGGGGGACGTGTTGCTGGAAGCCGGGGAGGACGGCGTCATTTGCGCCGAAGAAGACGGTCTGTGGGGATTTGTGTTATATTTTGTTAGTTGGCCTCTGCTCTTTTGCTTTCATGTTGAGTTATTATTATATTCTAGTTTATATCTTCTGTTTTCCGTTGCTTATAGTTGGTGCATGCTCGTAGGGGATTGATTGCACGGGTGGAGAGGAGTTAGTTACCATTAGGCGGACCCTCGCCTTTTGCACGGGCGGGAAGAAGCATGGGAAGATTGCGAGAGCTTGCTCAGATGTATAGCCACTGTAAATACCTGATTAGCCGATGTGGTGGGTTGCGAGTGTTTTCTACGATAGCTTGCTTTACCTGAAGCCCCGATTGATGATATCGAAACGTCTAATATAATCTAGATGAAGACTCAGCTGCCACCTTCGAAAACAGGGATAAAAAACGGTTTTCTTCTTTCATCTTTCTTGTACGAAATGAGAGCAGACATTCCCGATCTATACAAGCTTATACAGGCACAGTTATATAGAAGACAATGTTAAAACTGGCGGGGGAACGAGCAGGATATACATATATGTACCTACCGTGCTGCAAGGCGGGGCAGAAGGCAAACCCGCCGCTCCCCTGATCGCACGAGCCCTGGGTTATGGAGTCGCCAAAGAGAATAATCTGGTCATACTCCACAAAGGACGAGGAATTGGAGGAGTCAGGGTTGGTGATATTTGTGGTCGACATGGTGAGGTCTGGCAATGACGTGTAGTTATACTTAATGCAAGTGGGAAATGTGGGGGTGAAGCCAGAAAGTATTAACTAGTTATTCGCGTTCTGCCCCTGGCTACGGCAGCCTAGAAGTGACATCTAGGTCAAATGAGTATTTTAAACTAGTGTTACAATGAGCACACATCAACGATATTGGATTGTATTAGCAATCAGAATCTCCTCATTGGAGATTGTATGAAATAGTGATCAACATCAGGGGAGAGCCCTATGCCCGGGGTCTCTATACCCGGTCTATACGCTTGAGGGGGCTCTATACCTGGGGGGGCTCTATAATTATATCTCATAGTCTAAAAGCCAGGACTGATTAAACCATATATAGTAATATACTAACCATATTAGGACTAGTTTCATTGGTGTGTGTCTATATAATGAGTATTATGTGGAATTAAGCTTTTACACTGAAAAACATCCCAAAAAAGCCATTTGACCCAAATGTCACTGTAGGCTGCCGTACTGGCGGGGGTGGTGGGTGACTGGAAACCCATCCATATGTCACCGCTAGAGCTGGATGTCGTACGTACGCTGTATACAAACGGCAATTTTGGATTCAACAATATAGTAGAGACGTTTAGGAGGTGGTGGATAGAATAGAGATCTGCGTAATAACTTCTCAGAGTGGCCAGAAATGTTTTGTTTTGTTTTGGTAACTAGTTATGCACTTTGAAGCTCGGATATCTAAGCCCTCATGAGGGATACAAAAAGGCAGCAAGGTATGTTATAGTCAATCCCAGGTCTATAATGATCTCAGTCAGGATTAGAAGAAGGTACAAAATGCAAAGAACATCCATCCACGTTCTCTCATAGTACATGTACACGTACATGTAACTTACTATACAACGATGCAACACGAAACTGTCACATTCATCCTTGAATTCAAGAACAGATCCATGAGCAGACATTGAAAGGCATCTGAACTTGCCTCAGCTGCTGGTTCGTATACTTTAGTAGCAAATCCACTACATCTAGAAAGCAAAATCATTCATAAAAACCTACTATCTACGTATAACTCGTAGTCATATTCATGCAGTGCTCTACATCAGTAAGGAGTCGGGTTTGCTAGGGTTCTGATTGGCTTGGATGGAGAAGCAATGTTCCTGGGTAATAATATTTATGGGATAAAGTATCTAGCTACAAGGGTTCGATTGAGCTTGTTATACGGAGTATAATATATATATATAGTTATATAACTATGGTGTGACTAACTTGAGCCAGTTTGAGAATTATTAATGGATACACTACTACTACTATTACTAGTTACTCTACTCTACTACTTCTACCGCTAGAGTTCGAAGTAAAGTAACGGATGTTAGAGCAAAGCAACCTTGGATCAGTCAAAGTTAAGGCCTGTTGTTCCTGGGAACAAATCACCCTCTGCCATGGGCCAAGCCGGGTAAAATATTTGCAGAATGGAATGTAGTTACATATGTAACTACATGTACAGTACATTACATACATGTACCTAAATTCTCTAAAATCCATTCTCTCATGTTTGAGAACAAACAATCATTGTAGAGGAATAAATAATAATACTTACGATATGTAAACCTCCCTCCCTCCCCCCCGCAGTAACAGTGACCTCATCGCGCGTTTCTCCTCTGGCGCTAGTTAGCGCTCCCTCCCTAACTAGTTAGTTAGTTAGTTAACTATCTATTTAGTTAAACAACCCCAAACAACTTGACCTCAAACAAAACAGAACATCATCACGCCCGCGCTCTATCTACATTTGTGTGTGTGTTCAATTCTACTACAACCGTCTCTTGAATGCGCCAGTTTGGATCCTAACCTTTTGGGGGGGGGACTTGGGCTGGCTTGCTTCTGCCCTTGGATGGTTCTTGGGGAGGAGGGCGGCCTTCATTTGCTTGGTCTGTCTGTGTCTGTTCCTATCCTAAATATCCCCAGCCTCTTCCCACCGCTCGCCTGACAGCCAGCAGCAAGGAAAACGCGGATAGTGCTCGCTGCCAAAGCTACCCATGTCCCACATGACATTACTTTGCCTTTTATCCTGTTTCTGACATCTGCCCGCTCCGGGTAAGCTGACTTGTTATGACTTTATCTCTAATAGACTGTCGGAAATAAAGTAACACTTGACTTTTCAAGGAAGTGTGCTTGCTACTTCTTCCTCGACTACTACTGTTGCTACCACCACTCTACTACAATACAATGACTCCTGCTCTCCAGCGATCCGTCTCCAACGCTTCTGGGCTGGGTGGTGACGACGACGACAGCACCAGCGACCAAGATGATAATCCCCGGCTGATAGTGACCTCGCCGCCATCCCCAACCAGCCGGCGTGAACAAACTACTCGTTTTGCGGAGTTGGATATCCGCAGCCGTCTCCCCCGTCGTCCCACAACAACAGACATGGACGAGAGAACAGGTCTCTTGGGCGCTGCGGACGACTCAAACCGCACTTACACCACCATCCCCAATTCTGCCTCTAGCACCCGCCCGCCCCCTTTCCACAGACATCCCAGCACCGCTGGCAGTGTTCGGATACCCAGGAACCACAGCCGCGCAAACTCCCAGGCTGTCAAGTTCGGTGGACGCGACTGGTCGCACACAGATACGGGGGACTACTCCTCGAAGAATTCCCTGGGCGCCTCGTTTTTGGATGACAGGGTGTGGTACGACCAGTTTACATCCACCGACTGGGTGCATGATAGCATCGCAGATGGCATCCGGCTCAGACAGCTGCGGAGCCGCAGGGATATTCGCGGGCGGCTGCTGGCTTGGGCTGACGGAGCGCAAGGCTGGATTTTGGTTGCGGTCATTGGATGCCTAACGGCCTGCGTCGCGTATTTCGTCGACGTTACGGAGAATGCCATGTTTGACGTCAAAGAAGGGTTCTGTACGGAGAACTGGTTCTTCAGCAGACGACGCTGCTGCTTGCCTGAGGAGCAGGAGTGTGATGCGTGGTTGTCCTGGGCGGAGATTTTAGAGTCGTCCCCCATCGACCGGAAATGGATCGACTTTGTTGCTTTTGTCTTTTGGGCTGTTGTTCTTGCAGCGTGCTCGTGTGTACTTACGCTTCTTACGAAAACAGTCGTGCCGTCATCGGTCTCACTATCTACATTGGATGAGGATCTAGGAGCTGAGATAGAGTCGCCCGGCGATTCACCGATACGCGATCGGAAAACAAGCTCCTCTAGCCAGTCGCCACAGAGAGGGATAGTTGCTGCTCCCCCTATGGTTTACTACTCTGCTGCTGGAAGTGGTGTTGCAGAGGTGAAGGTCATCCTCAGTGGGTTTGTCCTTCATGGATATCTGGGCTTCAAAACACTGGTCATAAAGACGTTGGCTCTTGTGTTGGCTGTCGCCTCGGGACTAAGTGTTGGAAAAGAGGGCCCCTACGTCCATATTGCCTCTTGCATTGGAAACATATCCTGTCGAATATTCTCGAAGTATCACCACAACGATGGTAAACGGCGTGAGGTGTTGAGTGCTAGTGCTGCTAGCGGTGTTGGTGTTGCATTTGGTGCCCCTATTGGAGGCGTCTTGTTCGGTCTGGAAGAAGTCAGGTACGCATTTTGCTCTGTTAGAGCAGGAAAGTATATTACATTTCAAGGATGCATTCGAAAGCTAACAAAATCCGTGCCCTAGCTATTATTTCCCTCCCAAAACACTCTTTCGAACATTCTTCTGTTGCATTGTGAGCTGCCCCATTTTATAAGTTACAGTGGTGATGTACACTAATCCCGGAATAGGCTGCCGCCCTCTCTTTAAAATTCCTGAACCCGTATGGCACCGGAAAAATTGTGTTGTTCGAGGTTCGATATGTCTCAGACTGGAAAGTTTTCGAGCTTCTGATATTTATGCTCCTCGGGGTCCTTGGAGGTGCTTCGGGTGCCTTGTTTATCAAAGCCTCGAAACTGTGGGCACAGTCGTTCCGCCGCATTCCCGTTATCAAACGCTGGCCGCTGCTGGAAGTCGTCTTAGTTTCATTAATCACGGGCTTAGTTAGCTTTTGGAATCGCTATACGAAGCTGCCCGTTTCAGAACTTCTTTTCGAGCTTGCCAGTCCGTGTGATCCGGACACCGAATCGAGAACGGGGACTCTGCCCCACGGGCGACAAGATCCCCGAGGTGATCCGTTACCTTGTCATTGCTTTTTGTTATCAAAAGCATTCTGACCATTATAACATTTGGGATCAAAGTGCCTGCCGGCATCTACGTTCCGTCTATGGTTGTCGGTGGCTTACTAGGCAGGATCGTCGGCCACATTGCCCAGTATTTCGTTGTACATTTCCCAGACTCTTTTCTTTTTGGCAGCTGCTCCAGCTCGCGGGATGCTCTGTCGTGCATAAACCCGGGAGTTTACGCTCTTATCGCTGCTGGCTCTACGATGTGCGGTGTTACGCGACTTTCTGTGACGCTGGTTATCATCCTGTTTGAATTAACGGGTAGCCTCGACCATGTGCTTCCCTTTTCCCTAGCAATCCTCTGCGCCAAATGGACTGCGGATGCAATGGAACCGCTGAGCATCTATGTAAGTTTTTTCCACCTCCTATACGTCAAACTCACCCAAGTGGGTCAATAACTCGCCCGTATGATTATGCTAACACACCTCCAGGACCTCCTCACGGACATGAACTCCTACCCCTACCTCGACAACAAACTCCACCCAACCTCCGACATCGAACTCAGCGAACTCGTCCCCCGCGTCCGCAAGAACCGTATCATAGACATCTCCAACTCCCCGCTCGTCCCCGCCACGGAGCTGCGCCAAAAACTCGACGTGCTCCTCCTAGCCGGCGAACTGGACGGCGGCCTGCCGATCCTGCGCAAGAATATCCTGGTCGGGCTGATCCCTGCGCCCGAGCTTGAGTATGCGCTTGATAGGCTCGAGGACGAGGAGGAGGCGATGTGTTTGATGTGTATTGATAGTTCGTATGAGGGTTGGAGTGCGGAGGGGGATCGGGATCGAGAGAGGGTCGATTCAACGGGGCGGATGGCGGATTTTACACCGTTTATTGATCCGGTATGTTCTCTCTCTCTCTCTCTTTTTTTTTTTTTTTTTTTTTTTTTTTTTTTTTTTTTTTTTTTTTTTTTTTTTTTTTTTTCCCCTGTTGCGTTTACGCTTCTTCTTCTAATTTATTTCCCCACATCCACATCCATTCTTCACAATCCGCCCTCGTGGCCAAATGCCAAATACAAATACAAAGTATATATATATACACACAACTAACCGATATTGTGTTTACTACTTCTCTCTAGGCTCCCGTGGCCCTCGATATACACTCACCCATAAGCCTCGTCTATCAATGCTTCGTCAAACTCGGCCTGCGGTACATGTGTGTCCTGCGCGATGGGCAGTATGCGGGGCTGGTGCATAAGAAGTCATTTGTCAAGTTTATGAAGGAGCAGGGGAAGGGGACACATAAGTGAGACTTATGATATAGGGGGTCCCGGGGGGATGAAAGTGGGTGTTTTTGTTTTTCTTAGGGCGGGGTAAGTGTGAGAGTGGAAGATGGTAGATGATGGTACATGAAAAAAGACAAAGAGAGGGAGAAAGAAGAGGGTGGGTGGGTGGGTGGCTTGGCTGGCATGTATAGATTCTTTCCATTTTCTTGCTGGTTGAGATTCCCCAGTGATACACACACACACATACACACACACACATACACATGCATGCATCCATAGAGTTGTGGTTTTCTTTCTTTTGCATACATAATACATATGGATTTCAGCTCTTTTGGGGAATTTTATTTTATTATTTTTCAGTTTTGATATCTGTACTCCGTACTGTTAAAAATGATAAGTTGTTGTTTTAAGATGAAGTAGCGACGGAAGAACATTGAGCCGGAGTCCCGCAATGCTTTTGGCTCCAACTTCCAAGCCGGGCCGGCAATACTGTTCCGAACCCCAACGCCGCCGCCGGCAATTCAACCACTTGTTCCCGACCCGACCAACCGGCAAACTCCCCGATTTCCCCGAGTTCCGTCAGATATCTCTCTCTCTCACATACGCAGTAACTATATCGCAACCTCCCAACCTCCCAACCTCCCAATCTCCCATCCAATCTACCCCTCCCACGTCGTGCCCTCATGCCAACGAGCACCCTCCGTTTCTCGCCCCGATTCCTCCCCTCGTTTGCTCCCTCGTCGTCGCTCCGTGCCGCAAAACGCTACTCCAAAAGCCCCATTATCTCGCCAGCAAGAATGTCGTCCACCGGAACAGCTGCGCTTGCACGCAATGCGAAGGCGGAGCGGATTCGTAAGTTTAGCTATGCCTGTGTTTCTCTTCTGTTTGAGATAGGTTAGGAATGCGATTTTGCTGATAGATGCGTCATTGTGTCGTGCGGTGGTGGGTGGTAGGCAATCCGGCTCTCTTGTATGTGTACCCCACACGCCCCTCAATACGAGTTAGATGATTATGAAGAGACCTGAGGAGGCTGTATCTTTGTAGCTACTACAGGACGCGACATGGTTTACTGACCGCTGCGCTGGGATTTGATTTGCGCTTACAGCATTTGCGATATCCAGGAGAAATTCCGCCCGATTATCTATGAGTTCCCGAAACTGTCAGCTCTCCCCGCTTTTTCTCCGCTCCCATCCCTCCCACGACCTCAGACACCTGCGCGGCGATAAATAAAATAAAATAAAATAAAATAAAATAAACCAACTCGAGAAGCTACCATAAACTAACATAACCAACCCCAGAATCACCACAACAACCAAACTCCTCAAAGCCGCCAAACCCCTCAACATCCCCATCTACATCACAACCCAAAACCGCGCCCGCCTCGGCGCCACCGTCTCCGAATTCAACCCCTACCTCGACCCAGCCACAAACCCCAACGTCCGCGCCGACCTCGACAAAACCCTCTTCTCCATGGTAACCCCAGAGCTGAAAGCCTGCTTACCCACCACCATCACCGCGGCTGCCGACGGCGGACAGCCAGTACCCCTCGACGCCATCATCGTCGGCATCGAGTCGCACATCTGCGTCACGCAGACGACGCTGGACCTGCTGGCGCTGGGCCACAGAGTGTATGTGGTTGCTGATGGGGTGAGCAGTGTGAACCCTGAGGAACGGGTGGTGGCGCTGGCGCGGCTGAGGGATGCGGGGGCGATTGTGACGACGAGCGAGAGTCTGTTGTTTGAGATTATGGGGGATGCGAAGCATGCTGTTTTCAGGCAGATTAGTGGGCTTGTGAAGGAGAGTGGGGAGGAGACGAAGAAGGCGCTTGGGGTGTTTTGTGGGAGTAAGATTTGATTTTCTTTTTAGGTTTTAGTTATTTTATTACATTGTTTTTGTTTTTTAAGACGTGGCTGTTTTTGTTTATGGAGGGAACTGGTATCTAATCCTAATCTATCTGGCTAAGAGAAACAAGGGGTAAGGGAACAATTGTATGTTTCTGACATGTAGAGGGTATAAGTCTATCTCATATTCGGCGAATGTAAAGCTTTTGTGAATCGATGGGGCTGATGAAAAGAAATGTGAGGCCTGCGAAGGCACCAACAACATAACTAGGTGCTCCGTCACGCAACGAACATGTTCTCAATTCCAGTATATATATATATATGTATGTCATAATCATCTACCCAGCAAAACTCCCAAACAGCTCCTTGACTCCGCGCTCTTGGCTGCCGCGCTCTTGGCTGCACTTTCCCTCGTGTCTTCTCCCACCATACTGCACTGCCTCTGCAAAAGAGCAGGGCCGGCCCGGGGGCGGGCGGTGAAGGTGCGAGATAAGAGGAGGGAAGACAACAGCAGAGAAGGAGAAGAGCTGAGTGGAGGAAATTGACAGCCGCGGCGCCGGATGCTCTGTAAAGTAGTTCACTAGTACTAATTTCCAAAAAAGAAAAAAAGAACCAAAAAAATAAAGGAACCGGTTCATCGAACTGGACTGGCAAATACTGCAGGTGGAGGAATGGTAGGGCGATCAGGAGAACAGAGAAACCGGTGGCTGAGGGCGTGTGGTGAGCGAGAGAATCAGGCGCAGCTGAACATTTAAGGCCATGCATGACTGGACAATAACTATATGTCCATGGAATGACTATGGCGAGCCTGCTCAGCGGGTGTGCGACATGGACCGTCCGTAGCCCTTATCCCTCCCCTCTCTCCCCCAGCAAGATTCCCAACCCCCCACCCTCGCTCACAAAGGGCTACAGAAAGGGGGGGGAGATGCAGGGAGAGAGCGAGAACCCACCCGCGAGAAAGCAATAGAAAAGAGGGCGGAGCGAGACGTCTTTTGAAGCGGGGAGGGCGCGGACGCCACTCGTCGCTGATGAGAAAATACACAGAAACCCGAAACCGTACCGAAGTGGCGGGCGATGAGAAAGTATGCAGCAGCATTGTACTCAGGCCCAGTGACGTAGGTAGTATTCACCAAGTTCTTTCCTCTTCCCTCAAGTCTGAAATGTATTGCCGACATGTTCCGAATCAATTCTGCCTTCCTCTCCGTTCAGACTTTCCTCACGCAAACCATCCTTCAATGGGGTTGCTTTTCAACGCCATAGACTCCCGAGATAGAGTGGAGGGTTAACACTGCGTGAGCTGATCCGGGGGTGTGAGAACGGCAAACCAGCCGTCGAATATCTCCTTTGAACAAATGAATCGTTCGGGGACAAAAGTGTAAAGTGTTAATGGGCGGGTCGCGAATTGCGCGCGGGCTTAGTGGTGCTGGCCCGCAGCAGGATGGAAAGAGTAGCGACTGGCGCTCTGCTGTTAACCGGGCGCGGAGCTGAGAGGGTAAGTGGTGGAAGGTGGGGACCCATTACATGGGGGCAAGAAACGAACAAAGCGCAAATAGAGAGAAGGGAGAAAAGAAAACCTGGGCGGGTTAATTCGGGATTTGTTCTTTTATCAGCCCTGGTGTGCAAAGACGGGGGGTAGACAGTTGGGAAAAGTTCGCGAACTTAAGAAGGGAAGAAATCGAGAGAAAACAAAAGAATTTATGACAAGAGGAAGGACGGAGAAGTCGAAGAAAGCAATAGGCAAAAGTAGAAATTTCAAAAGAAATAACAGAAGAGAATCAATCATCACCCATTAATCCATCAAACCCATCAACTGCTAAAAACCACGACCTGCACAACTTTTCACACAGCATCGTTGAGGAGACCACACAACCCAATCGAGTCACGCACGCACACACCCACCGACAAACAGAAATAAAAAATAAAACAAATAAAAAGCAAAGAGCAAAGAGCATTCCTTCTCCGTCTACATATTGATCAGATGCACCTTCGCCATCTTCCTGAAGATATTCTCGTCTACAGCGGAAGCGTCACCGTTCGATGTTTTGGCGCCTGCACCAGTACCACCAGCAGCATCACCACTTTTCCAGTCAACAGCCCACTGCCTCAACGTGAATAGTTCATCGATAAAAGCCGGGAGAAATGTGCCGGGGCCGTGTACTCCGTCTTTCATGGCGGCGCGCTCAGCGGCAATTTCGAGAAGGAGTAAACTGGCGAACACTGCGAGTAGCTTGTCACTTCTGTGCACGGCGAGGAAGGAGGCGGCCATGGTGCCGATTATGCAGCCGGTCTAGGCGGTGGAGTTGGGTTGGTTAGTTTGGGCCTTTTTTTTTTTTTTTTTTTTTTTTTTTTTTTTTTTTTTTTTTTTTTGGGTAGGCAATGGAAGAAAAAATAAATTAAAAATGAAAATAAATTTGAGGTAAAGTGTTGAGGTAAGACTTACGCCTGTAATATGGCCGAGGAACTGATGGCCATTGCCAATGGCGAGAGTGCGCTCGCCATCACTCAGGTAGTCCACACTGCCAGTGAGAAGAACGATGTTTCCTGGGAAAATAGGCGGTTATTTAAACATTTCGGAATCAAGAGCCTGGTGGCTGCCTATGCCAATCCTTAAGGGGAGGTTTGTTATGTGTGTATAGATTGGAGAAAGGAAACATGTAATATAATGGATTGTGTAGGTCGTTGTTTTCTTTGAATATTTCCCGCCGAACAAAACAAGGCACGCAAGGTAGCACAAGAATGAAAAAAAGGAGGAAGGCTGGGGGGGGTGAAGAAGGAAAGCTTACTCTCCCGCCTCGCAAGGTCTTTGACAAGCTTCGCCTTTTCTTCGGGGTTCAAAGTACTGGGTCCGCTGTCGACGCCGACCTGATTCCCACGAGCTTTACCGTACACCTGAATCAACTCGCTTTCATTGCCTTTAATGAGATCGAAATATCCACCGGCAAGGAGTTGTTTCGTTGCTTTGCGGCGAATGTCGGTAGCACCAGCCCCGACTGGATCAAACACAACAGGGTTTCCTTCGGCATTATAAGCCCGTAGGGCCTGGAGGTAATTGTCGAGGCTTTCGTTGTTAAGGGTCCCCATATTAATTAATAATGAGCCACCGTTTTTGGCGAGGTCAGGCGCTTCAGGACCGTACCCGGACATGATTGGAGACGCGCCACTATATTAAAGTCAGCTATAATGAACCCGGCTGAATGATAACTAATCGAGAGTTCTTACATCGCAATTGCAACGTTTGCAGCAAAATTAGCCACCACAAAATTGATCATGTTGTGACACAGCGGTCGCTTTGTAGCCACCAAGCTGACGATATCTGGTACTTGATCTAATAACAGGGAAACTTCATTCTCTCGAGGAGGGACGGGTAAAGTGGCTGAGGCAGGGATTTGCTTCACAAGTCTGCAGAACGATGCGGCGGCTTCTCTCGGGCTTTCCGCTGCCATGATTGCACTCACAATCGCAGCCCCATCAAGGCTCTTAAGAGGTGCTTGTGATTGGTAGATAACTCGCTGGACATTTGTCAAGTTAATACCACCGATTGCAACAGCTCCCACTTTTCTGGGCATTGTAGAAAGAAACGCCAAAATATCCCTCGTGCCAGCAGTCCCGATAATAGACTTGGTGTCGGTTTTCCTTTGTCACGATCAATTTAAAGTTCCATAATTTGTAGATCCTAAGCTTCAGGATGATCAAAGAACAGTAAGGGGCTCGTAAGATCAACTAACTTACGTGGGCGTCGCGAATACAGTTCCAATCCCGACGTAATCAGCGCCATCCTGGACTGCCCTGAACGCTTCCTCGTTGGAGCGTACTGATACCCCGATGTAGGTGTTGGGTGGCAATAATTTCTTCGCCTCAGTTATTTCTAAAAGAAAAGTCGCAAACACAGCTTAGCTTCCCGCAATATAGCAGGCAAGGACGGCGTCACTAACTCATGTCATCCTGTCCAAGATGAACGCCTTCGGCACCAACAGCTAACGCAACATCGACTCGGTCATTGATGATTAGAGGAACATTATACTTTTTCGTAATTCCGTGGAGTCTCTTCGCCATATCAATCATAACACCAGTGTCACTATGCTTGTCTCTATACTGGACAACAGTGACTCCTAGTTAATAGTGGCAAATCAGCAAATATGGCAATGCACTCCACGGCGAGTAAGGACTTACCCCCTTCAAGGGCATCTTGAACTACCTCACACAAATCCCTATTGCCTAGAATGGCAGGAGTAGAGTCCGTTACCAAGTATACGGAGAGGTCCATGGCTATGCGATGGAATAGGGCAGAGGTATACTCTTTCTTGTAGTGACTAGGAAAAGTGTATGAAACGAGGTTGCTTGCAGTTGGTCGTTACACTAGCAAGTGATATCAAGATGGGCGGGCCAGCTGATATCAGTAGAAGTGGAATAGAGGGAAAAGGGTCCAAAGAAAGATGTTTGTTTGTGTTCCTAATGAAGTTAATTAGTGACTCACTCCCAGCAACATATATAACAAAGTAAAGAAGAGCAGACAGCACTATGAAGAATACAGATATGTTTTAATGAATTTGAGCATGTAGCTTTTTCTCTCTCTCTTTTTAATACAGGATCAAATCAAGATTTTATTCTTATGTATGCAATGAAACAATGGAAAGGAGCACACTAAATAGACCAACCAACGCGCTCAGCATATCTTGGGAGATAGATAGTGCGGAAGATTGGAAAATATACACGCATATGAATACATCATATATCGAAATGTAGGAAACAAGATGATGCTAAGGAGGTCCCGGAGAAAGGGATGATCTACCTGAGTTTTCAGGAGCAACCGTAACTTCTTTGCGTCGTGGATAGTAGTAATCTATAATGAAAATGGAGACGAGATTGGAAAGACAGTATTCAGTCAGGGGATTCAGAGAAAATGAAAGAAATAATTCCGTCTTTTTTACAATTATTTATATGTAAAAGAGAATGAAATATGAAAGCAGGAACTCTGTCTTTCTCCTAAATGGCGATGTATCATTGCACAAGAGCAACTTTGACGTCAAATTTCCTAATTGGAGCAAACACGGACAATATCACGTGATCATCCGGCCTCGGTGGGCTCGGGTTGTCCCGCTTAGTCAGCGCTCAATGAAAAATTATAATTCTGCCGCCACCGAATTACCGGATTTAGTTAGCCACCGCCGCCTCTTCTTTGCCTTGTCTTCCCTCAAAAACTTTCTCTTTCATCTTCCATCCTCCATCCACCACACATCTTCATTCTCACCATCACCACACCGACTTATCCAGACAGTTTGATCTCTAAACTGGGCCTTCTGATACTGCTTCGAAACCCATATAATCGGCGTTGATCTCAACGTTCCACCATTCCGTACTCACCGGGATATCTCGTTGTCTCAGCCCAACCCACGTTCCTCATCAGGTCCCTCCTAAGCCTTCTGCTACCAAGAAAGATAGAGCGCCTGTCTATGTATTCGCCCTACGTCAACGCTTTCGAACACCACCTGCCGCTCAAGCTGCAATCTTTTCGCCCTGTGCGAAAACCTTGTAGTTACCATTCTAGATCTTGTGGCTGAGATTCACTTCGCCTGACATACCCAGTCAACCCCCCCCTCTCGCAGCTGAGCAGTAGAAATTTCTTGCTCTCATTATACTACTCAAGATATCACGGGAAAATTCGTGATACGCATGTCTTGTAGCAATCGTACCTCCATTTCCCAGGCCCTCTCCGCGTTTCGTCCTATATTGCCCGCATCTATAGCCTTTTAAGGGTTTTTAAGGATTTCGTCTCTCTTCTTATCGTCACCATGGCTACCATCAATATCCGTCGGGTAAGTTTTTCTTTGAAGGCCTTGTTTGTTTGCTCAAGATTTAAGTTCGGCCCAGATATACTGACACGCTTTTACTAGGACAACCCCGACCCTTTTTACCGTTACAAAATGGAGCGCCTCCAGGCCAAGATCGAAGGCAAAGGCAATGGCATCAAGACCGTTGTTGTTAATCTCAACAACGTCGCCCAGTCCTTGGGTCGCCCCCCTGCCTGTAAGTTACTATCCGCACAGTTTCCTGTTCACTCTGTCCCTTTCTCTTTTGAGACGTTCTGATGCCAAGACTAGTATGATGCTAACGTCCGTGCACTAGACCTAATCAAGTACTTCGGCTTTGAACTTGGAGCTCAGGCCAACGCTAAGCCAACGGATGATCGCTGGATTATCAACGGCGCTCATGATGCTGCCAAACTTCAGGACTACCTTGACGGGTTCATCGTGAAATTCGTTTTGTGCAAGAAGTGCAAGAACCCAGAAACTGAAGTTGTAGTCAAAGAACCTCGTATTATCCTGGACTGCAAAGCCTGTGGTGAGCGATCTGATGTTGACCTTCGTCACAAGCTTAGCAGCTTCATTCTGAAGAACCAGCCCAAGAAGGGTAAAAAGGACAAGTCCACCAAAAAGTCTCGACGCGAGAGAAATAAGGCCAAAGGTGAGGGAGAGACGAACGGAGAGGCAAACGGATCGTCAAATGGTAGCCCGGTAGATAGCAACTCCGATGGAGGGGAGGAAAACGGCGATGGTGCTCTCGAGGCCCATAGTGATGATGAGCTCACTCGCCGCATTAAAGCTGAGGCTGATGGAATCGAGCAGACGGCTGAAATTGACGATGACGACTGGGCAGTTGATGTTTCTGAGGAAGCTGTTAAAGCTCGCGCCCAGGAACTCCCCGACGATGTCAAGCGTTCTCTCGTCATCGATGATGGTGATGAAGACGGGGAAGGGGAAAATGGGTCGGCTTCCGCGTACGATCTTCTCGGGAGCTGGATCATAAGCTCCGCCAATGGTTCTGAGGATGATGTCTCAGATGTTAGTGACATCGACATTTATATGAAAGCCAAGGAGCTTGGCATTGAGTCGAAGCACAAGACCCTCGCCGTCTTGGCTCAAACCATGTTCGACGACAAAATCGTTAAGCAAATTCCGTCCAGGGCTGGCATGCTCAAGAAGGTAATTACACACTCCATCCGTTAACCCTGTCTTAATTATGGTACTAATAAATTTTCTTTAGATGATCACTTCTGAGCGCCACGAGAAGGCATTCCTTGGAGGAACTGAGCGTTTAGTTGGAATTGAACGCCCAAATCTCTGCCAAAGTGTCCCCGCCATCCTACTCGCCTATTACCAGGAGGATCTCGTTTCCGAAGAAGTCCTCAAGGCCTGGGGCTCGAAGGCTAGCAAGAAGTACGTCGACATCGCCACCAGCAGGAAAGTCCGTAAAGCCGCTGAGAAGTTTATCGAATGGCTTGAGACCGCGGAAAGCGACGAGGATGACGATGAGGAGTAAATTCCTGTTGAAGCATCCCAGAAACCAACTTCCAGCCGTGACATTCTCTTCTTGAGGGATTTTATCCATTAGTTCATTCATTTTTCCCCCGTCCCCTTGCTGTCAGTTTTGCTATATGTGATCAATTGTATCAATTAATGGTTGACCCGCCAATTCCACTCTGCGTCAGAATTAAGAATAAATCTCAATTAATCCCTTTGCGACTTCTATTGTTTCCCCTTTACTTATTTTTTTGGGGCTCTCTTGGATAAGTTTCATTGCTTCCATTTTGAACAAATCAACCCAACTTAATACATTCGTTTCGTTTTTTAAGTATAGTTAAGTATTTAAATGCAGGAGGAATAAAGGTTTTATTTTTGTCTCCCATTGCATAAACCATACTATTCTTCTTTATGATAATATCGTCCTACCTACAGAAATTATTAGTGATATATGAAACTGCAGGCTGTAGACCAATTTGGGGCAGTAGGGGCATTTATAAAAGGAAAAACTTATGTCTTCTATAGTATCCAGAGAGTTCATGGGTATGATTACTGTAAAATATCGATAACCGGCGGCATAGATGTGCCCATCATATATCAAAAACAACATTTATTCATTTTTCCATTCCCATCACACCGCTCCAATCATGTTGGCCAACCTCCACGATCCACTGCTTCCCATTGATTGCAGCTCTCCCTGCGTTTGTGAGTGTGACTGTGTCCACGACTGCGGCTGAGAACTTAACATATCCGCAATCCTCCTCTCAATATTCCGCTCCGCCTGTACAAGCCCGTCAATAACATCCCTGTCCCTATCACGCCCGCCTCTCCCCTTCCCCCGCCCTTTCTCAAATATAAACCACGTTAAATCCGCATTCCGCGCATGCATAGCCCGAACCGCTCGAGATATTTCTTCCGTCCCCGCTCCCGTTCCCGACGTCTCTTCTACTCCTTTATTTTCTGTCTTGCTGGTCTGCTTCTCGCCATTGGATTTTGCGTCGGCGCGCCAAGCATACGTGATGTAATAATCAGGATGATAGAAAGATATTGGAGTACCGAGACACTCGGAAATTTCATCGCCGATGTCTGCAGACAGATACACGTTGGAGAGTATCGTGGTAAAGAGGCGTGTCAGCGCCCGGAATAGGGAGCTATGAGGGGTGAATAACTTTGTGCTGTATGGTAATAGTGGTGGAGGGGGGGATAGGCGAGATTGTGAAGTCACTACTCTGGTGGAAACGGAGGATTGATTGTTGCTGCCAGTGCCGGGTGTTAAAGATTCCATCTCCGAGATGGTACGAGCATTAAGGAATTCCTGTTGCTCCATGTGTTGACGCTGCCTCTCCGTAGCCCTCTCCGAGTCCTGTCGTACCCGCTCCCATGCGCGGAGGTAGAGTTTCTTCCACCGTGGGAATTCATGCTCGATGCGGGACGCCATGAAATCCCCCGCGCCTTCGCACATGGCACCGATTGCGGTGCAAGACGCGACGATTACGAATGTTTCTTCCTGGATGCCGAATTCATCGACGCTAGTTGCGGTGTTACGGATTTGCGTGGAGGCTGTGTGGGTGGTTGTAAGCGCGGTGGAATCCGATGGGAAGGTTGGTGGAGCAGCAATTCGAGCGCTGACAGAAGGCCAGAGGTCGTTGATTAGGGGGAGGAAGGTATTCTCGTCATGCGCGAGGATGGGTAGTGCGCGGGATAGGATTGAGAGTAGTGAGCGTCGTAGGAATGGCGATGGGGAGGAGAGATGGGGTGGAATGGATTTGGCGATGCTGAGGAGCAGGGTGTAAGACCTACTTAGGGTCCTTTCTTCTGTGGCAGGTTGTGGTAGTTCATCTGTTTCTGAGCCTATGTCATCCTCACCCTCGTCCATGGGTTTGGGCCCATCATGTTCTGAAGTCCAAGGACGCTTGGGGTGAGATTCTTTCTCCAGACCATCACTGGCTTCCAGTTGGGAAGCACGGGCTCGTTTTTCCCTTCGTTCTTGAAATGTATTCGCAACATCTGAAATGCTGCGAGGCTGGAGGGGCCTTTTCCGGTGGTTAACGGGTTCATTGGTATCCGGACCTGTAATGGCTAGCTGTGCTGGTTTCTTCGCGCCCTCATCTACGATAGCTCCTAAAACAGAAAACAATAGCTCCACCAACTTAGGATAGCCGTGAAAGGCATCCAACACGGCAAATATCGATCCAACTAGGTCATCCAGATATGGGATAAGAGAAGCTCCACATAACTTCACCATCATGAGTAGAACCTGGGGTGCTTGAGGCGACAAATCAAAGGTATTGAGTTTCAAAGATACCGAATTAACCAGGTAATCCACGTTATCGACGAGCATCGCACTTGTGTTGGGATACTTGCAAGCCGTAGTGAGGATGTTAAGACAGGTAACAGCATGGTTTTGCATGTTGGGATTACTAGAGCCCATCAATTGCAACACAGGGTACAAGGCGTCAATTAATTCGGGACGAAAGGTTTCACCTAGCTGCTCTGCTTGTAGCGCGATAGCTTCAAGGGCTAGTGCGGGGAGCCGCCAGTCGGGTGGATTTGCAGTTGATAAATCTGTGAGAATCGGGAGCGAAATTGAGTATAACTCTTCGATAATGGCGGAGCGAGATAACGTGTCACTATCCAGTTCTAGCATATCATCTACTGACGCTAGATCTGCTGGGGCACTTTTTATGAATGCGAGGATGAGCCAAAATGGGGCCAGGAGACCATCACCTGACGATCCGTACATTCTCTTCAACATCGAACTCGCCATTGTCAGAGAAGTGTCGGTGGCGCCCAGCTTCGAGATCATAGAATGCAGCTCTGAGAGCGTTCTTCGCTGACTACGATGCTCCAGTAGCACAGGTTGGAAGGATGTAGGCCGACCCCCGTCCTCGAGAACACTGAGCTCTGTCCCTGTAATAGAGGAACTAGGTAGAGGTTGGGGCGCCGTTGACGGCGATTGAATAGCCGCAGAGACACTGTCGCATAAGCTTCTTGCTAGAGTGTCATCTAAGATATCCGAGCTTGGCTGAGTCTGCGACAAGACCTGGAACGCATTCGATATCTGTTTAATTGCCCTCTGCTTGGCAGCGTCGTTATCTGACTGCATCATTCTCGGCAAGGCTATCGTCCATGTGTACATGCTGGACTTGAGGAGTTCTAGGACGGGGCTAGATGAGATGACGAGGTGTTTTAGGGCGACATAAGCATCGTTTGCTGAGCCTTCAGTGTCATATTCAGCAAGGACAACCACGGTTTCCACCATCATTGAAAGAGAGTCTCCAAGTGATTTCGGACATTGCTCAATTACCATGA